TCGGCCCATCGATCCAGCCTGTCCAGGTGACTTCTCAAAAACCATGAATGAACTCAGATATCAACAGAGATCTTTCTACTTACCTGGAAAAAAACTGAACTCAGCTCTGTTGCAGACACCTACAGAAGAAGGGGCCAGTGCATCTCTCAGAGCACTGACATAACACAGGCCTGCTGGGAAGCATGTGAACCACTTAACTCTCATCATCATCAATTTACGAAGTGCAAATAAACAAATTGGGGAAAAAAGGGGAAAAAAAACAATGCAAGAAAAAATACAGGAACTGATATAACCCAATACTTACATGGGTCTTATCATCGGACTATCTGAGGACAACATTCAGGAATTAATAGGATTCCCCCAAGACGGGAAGACCTAAGCCCAGGTTACCGACACAGAGCTGAGGTCACGCGGGAGGGGCCTGACACAAGTCCCAAGTATCTGCAGTCCCATCCCCAGTGGTCAGCTCTCTCCTACCCCAATCTTACCTCCCTTTGGATCACTGACCTCTCCTCATGCAGAGCTAAACATAAGACACCCTTGACTCTGAGCTGCTTCTCAAGTCCTGGGAGACGTGAACGCGGTCCCTCCTTCCCATACAGCAGAGGGGAGGAGAGAAAGATTTAAAGCCAGAAGGGAACAGTATGATTATTCCACCGAACTTCCTGCATAAAACAAACTACAGTGGTTCATCCAATTCCTGCCTTGAATCTTGATTTGTGAGGAAGCTAGAGCATGCCCTTGAGAGACGGACCTGTAATTCCTTAGTGATTCCTCTGTTAAACTTTTATGTACCTTAAAAGTCTGACCCAATGTGCCTTGCAAAAGCTTAAGTCTTTGGACTGTGCCCCCTCTCACCAATAGCAGAATCACATCCCCTGTACATACAATCGATAACCCTCCACACATAGAAGTAATGCATCGTAACACCTGAAACACCTCATGGCCCTGGCTCTTCTTTTGGACGGAGAAAAAGGACCTCCAGTTTCCTGCTGTCTAGGTGTTACTTACTGGAAGTCTTCAGCTGTAAGGTTTCGGACAGGCACCTCAGGGTCGCCGAGCAGAGACAGAATGTGAAGGAACCTCTTGTATGTTAATGGAGGAGTCCCACCGTTCAGATCCAAAATCCTAAGTAAAACAAGATCACTTTTCACCATAATATAAACAAAGAAGGAAGCTGGAGCTGCTGGTGGATAGGAAGGTGACAGCACAGGCAAGAACAGCCCCAGTTCACACAACTGAATGTGGAAATCACAGATTTTACAATTAAAACCTCCATGGGTGAACGTACATCCATCCTGAGAGCCGTCTCTCAGGACTTGAGACAACAAACTTGGGACCAGGATGCCAGCCATGGCTTCAACTGGGCAGCTCTGTACAGCCAGACACAGCCAGGATGGCAGAGTGCAAGGTGCAGGACACCTCTGGGGCTGCCAGAGGCAGTCTGATCACAAAAAAAATCAGGTTCAGGGCAGTAAATAACTCTTCTATGTGAGCAACCACCTGTGCAAACAGACAGCTTGAATTCAAGACGGCAAGTAACGTACATCCCTTCATTTACATAAATTACGGGCTTTCCAGAATTGGAGTGTTAAGGCTGTTTTAGCTATTACTGATCACCTCCCTATTATTAATTTCAATATCTTCAATCATTCAGCTCTGCATAACAGTTTGGATTCAAGTGTATCCAGACAGCAGTGAAAGTTGATTAGAAAGATATAAAAAAAACTGTCACAAAAATTTTACATGAAAGTCCTATTAAATTAAAGAATTTCTTCCACTCTGTTTAAAAGAGTAGCTAATGTAAGTTTTGAAGTGAATTAAACTGCCGAAAGGGAAAAAATTAACAAACTCTTTAGGCTCAAATCACAGCCCAACATCCTAACACCTGTGCAAAATCTCTTCTGTTACTTCCAGCAGACCAACACACAAAAATTCTCCGGCAAACAGTGCTATGTTCATCTCAGATAGTCCAATTTTCTCAAAAGGAACACATTAGGATCCAGAAAGACCAAGATACCTGGGCTTTTCTCCCTGATGCTTGCTAAATCTAGAATTAAACCTTCCTGGAGACACCTCACTGGTCTACGGGGCAATCACGTACCGTTTGGTGTCGTACAGACTGTGGCCCACCAGAGAAAGCACCTCAAACCCCAGCTCTTCTCCCAGACGTCGTATGTTGGCCTCCATTTCCTTGTAAAACGGTTCCATCTCTGCATCCAGAGTCACTTGTGTGATATTCCACTTCTGGATGTGATCTCTAAGAACAGACTCATACTCTCCTTGAATAACCAGCAAGCAAGAGCCCAGCTGACACAAGTTTTTCTGGAGATCCTCCAGGGACTGCAGCAGAAAATGCCACCGCAGGGCCCCGATGTGCATCACAGACGTCATGAACTTTCTGTCCAGGATGTAGACAGGGTAAATGACCTCCGAGGACTCCAGCGCGGCCAGCAGCGTTGGGTTGTCGTGAAGCCGAAGTCCCTTCCGGAAAAGATGAATGGTGCGATGCGGCATCCTGGCTGTTCTCCTCAGATCTGCTGAAGGAGGAAGGGAACCGTTGTCTTTGGGGATACACAATCCCTATTAAAGAACAAGGTCAATTAACAGTTAGAAATGGAACTCCAAATAGTCCTCAGCTCTTTTTACTGCAAATCTCTTCTGCTTTTTGATAAGTTTTCGTGAGAGAGAAAAGTAGAAACAGGACCAAACCGCTCTCCTCAGTTTCCTCAGCCGAGTCCCACCATTCAGCAGCTGTATCACCACCTCGCTCCACACAGAACGGCTTCTTCCCCAAATGAGTCACTCAAGTCCTTAAATTAAATCCCTAAATTAAATTACATCCCAATAGCGCTCACCAGAAGGAAGGAATCAAAACAGACAGAGCTGCCAGAGCTCCATTTACTGCAAAAACATTTTATAACCCCACAGACGTGGTCATCAGCAAACCCTCCGTAAGTCAACAGCAAGATGATTCAGGGAGCACTGCCTCCATTTGTACACAACGGGCTGCAGGGAGAACAGCTCTGCAGGAGCTCATCTCATCAGAGACCTGATACAACACTCTCTCTGGC